GGACGCCGAAGGCGCACTTCTTGGGGTTAAGGCGGAGCCTGAACTCCTTCATGATTTCAAAGATTTCCCGGAGGTCGTCGGCGTGGGAGGTGGCCTGCCTGCTCTTGACGATCATGTCGTCGACGTACGCCTCCATCGTCCGGCCAAGGACCGCTCTGAAGATTTTGGCCACCATCCTAGTATAGGTGGCGCCGGAGTTTTTGAGTCTGAAGGCCATGACGAGGTAGCAAAATATTCCCTCTGGGGTCATGAATGTCGTCTTCTCGGCGTCATCTTCGTGCATGGAGATCTGGTGGTACCCTCTGAAAGCGTCGAGGAACGACATCAACTCGCACCCCGCCGTCTCGTCCACCAACTGATCAATGTTGGGGAGAGGGAACGGGTCCATGGGGCACGCCTTGTTCAGGTCAGTGTAGTCAACACACATTCTGAACGTCGGCGGTTTCTGTGCGAGGACGACGTTGGCCAACCATGTTGGGTACTTCACCTCTTTGATATGTTTGATCGATAGGAGCATGGCGACCTCCCCTTTGACGAAGTCCCGCCTGTCAGCGGACAAGTAGCGCCGCTTCTGTTTGACGGGCGCGGAGGCCGGATCAACGGTCAGCCGGTGAGTGATCACCTGGCGGCTGATGCCGGGCATATCGTCCGGGCCCCACGCGAAGACAACGGCGTATGACCGTAGGACGAGGAGGATGGCGTCTCGCTGGTCCTGGGGGAGTTGCTTTCCGACCCTGAGAACCCGCTCCGGCCGGGAGGTATCCTGAGGGATTTCCTCGACCTCCTCGGCCGGCTCCGCATGTGGCCTCTCCTCGTCCTTGGCGACGGCGGCCGTGATGGTGTCTATCCGCTGTCCTTCCCTTTCGGCCGGCCTCGTCAGCTTGAGGTAACAAGCTCTGGTTATCCTCTGGTTTCCTCTGGCGTAGCCGATGCCGTCATTGGTGGGAAACTTCAAGCATAGGTGCTTCATGGAGATGATGGCCTCCAAGTCCTCCAGCGCTGGCCGGCCCAAGATCAGGTTGTGGGCGCACTGGAGGTTGACCACCATGAACTCCATGTCAATTTTGGCATGGTGGGGGCCGTCACCGACTTCCACGGGGAGGACTATCGTGCCCTCAGCGTCGATAGAGTCCCCGGTGAAGCCGGATAACGGGGTCTTGATCGGCTTCAGCAGAGCTCTGTCCAGCTTCAGCTGCTTGAAGGTGTCTAGGTACATCACGTTGACGGAGCTCCCCGTATCGATGTAAGTGCGGTGGATGATGGAGTCACCGATCTCACATCGGATGACGAGGCATCCCTGTGTGACTCTGTACCCGGAGGCAGATCCTTGTCGGTGAAGGTGATCGCCTCCGTTCGCTGCTTCTTCGGCTGGGGGGGGAACGTGGGACACCTCTCCAATGTAAAGGGATTGGGCCCATTTCTTCCTCTGAGTGGCGGAGTCCCCCCCAGTGTTCCCGCCTACGATGAGGTGGATGTGATTCTTCTTCGGCGGAGGCTCCTCGAAGTCCTCGTCGTCACTGAGCCTACCAATCTCGCGCTTCTTCGCAGAGGGTTCGCCCCCACGTTTGCCGGTGTTTACCCAAGTGTTTTTACGTGGGCCACCTTTGACAAACTGGGAGAGTTCCCCCTGGCGAATAAGACGCTCGATGGCCTTCTTCAATGTGATGCAATCGTCGGTGTTGTGCGACGAGTTCTTGTGGAACCGGCAGTACGTGCCGCCCTGCTGGATGGCCAGGATCTCCTCGGCCGGCCGAGGAGCCTGCTCGATGAGGCCGTGCTTCTCGGCATAATCGAGGATGGTGCCGACCGGGTGGGTGAGCGCTACCCCCGGCCGTTCCAGCCTCGGACGCCAGTGGCGGTCTTTCTTACTTTGTCCACCAGAGCCGTGGCGGCCCTGAGCACCCTTGTCGGCCGGGGACGGACCCTAGGCCGGCGAAGGATTTGTCTTCTTGGGGGGATGGCCCCCTCTCTCTTGTGATTGTGGAGCTCGTCGGCGTCGGCATACAAGCCTCCGCGTTGGAGCGCCTTAGCGTACGACCTCGGGGGGTCAGTGATGAGGCTCCTGGCGTACGGGGAGCTGCGGAGGGCTCCCTGGTACAAGGCGAGGAGGGTGCGCTCATCGGCCCCCTCGACCTCCTCGGTCTCCCTCGTCCATCGGTCGATGAATGACCGGAGGGACTCCTCGTGCTGCTGTTTGACGGAGAGGAGGTGGGTGAAATACTTCTTGGCGCGTTTCCTCTCGGCAAAGTGAGTGAGGAAGCGCTGGGCGAGATCCTGCCACGAGTCAATGCTTCCCTCTGGCAGTCCGTTGAACCACTCGTACGCCGGCCCCTCGAGAGTAGAGAGGAACCAACGGCAGAGGTATTCGTCGGACGCGTTCACCATCATCATGTTGTTTTGATAGCGGCTGAAGTGCTCCTGGGGGTCTGATCGGCCATCGTAGGACTTGATGGCGTTCCCCCTGTACTTCTCAGGGATGGGGGCCGAGAGGACCCTGTTGGTGAAAGGGGTCCTCGTCCTGACCTGGATGATGGGGTCACCTCGCCCTTCGGCCAGCTCCCTCTCCAGGGCGCTGACTTTGTTCATGAGCGCGTTGAGGCCGGGGTCGTTGGAAGCGCCGGCCGTAGGGATGTTGGCCGACTGCTTGGCCTCCATCTGAGCCAACCTCCTTTCCAGCTGGGCAATGACCTCGTCCCGGGGGTCTCTGTCGGCCGCGGTGACACCCGGCTGGTTCCTCAGGCGCTCGTTGTGAGCCGCGTTGATCTGGTGGCGCACGTCATCCTCGTGCAACTTCCCCTTGCCTTTGTCCGGGCGGGGCTGGTCCGCTGTCTGGGAAACAGACCCCAAGCTTTCTCTTGGCGAGCCAGGACGAGGATCACCAATCCGTCCCGCCATCCTCTCCGAAACCGGACGACGACGCGTGTCACCTAGCCTATTGAAGGCAGAGGCTTTTCCACGCGCTGGGGTCTGCCCGGGCCGAAGAGGGGAAGCAGGGTGGGAATGGGACGACGCCGTGTCCTGGGCCACAACCCCCTCATTGTTGCCTATCTGGACGGCCAACGGTTGGGGATGAGGAGGTGGGGTGACGTTTCCCCCGGTCCTTGGCAAGAGTGCGCTGAGGACGGTGGGATTCTGAGCCAAGCTGGCGATGATAGCCGATAGTGCGGCCTAGACCTGAGGATCTACGGACGGAGAGGCCGCGGCCATAGGCTGGGCCGGGGCGTGGTCCGCTTTCTCAGCTCGTTTCTTTTCCAGGCCGAGGCGGGCGTCGGGGACTCCGCCGTTGAGTTGGTTGCGGAGGTCCATCGTGAGGTTGAAGGCCTCCTGGAAGAGGTCCCCTCCGCCGACCTGGTCGGCTGTGGCGTCCTCATCGTGCTCCCTGGGCTCTTGGTCCTCAGGGATGACTTTGCTGACGAGGTTGCGGTTTGACTTAGTTCTCCCCATGATCAGTGGTTAGCTGTGCTTGGTAGCGACGAAGGGTGCTAACTTGATTGTTCTAGCTCTCAATGAGAGCACCAAATGATAGAGTATATCTCCTAGATTCTAGAGAGAAGCGAGAGCTAGAGAGAGAAGTGTTATAATATGCTTCAATAGAATGAAATCGTAACCCCCTTAACTACTCCCAAGGGGAGTATTTATAGAGAAAATTAGGGTTGGGCTCCCAAGCCTTGGGCTTGGGAGGCCCATTTACAACTGGACCGCTACTGGGCCGAATACAAAGCCTCTAATGGGCTGTACAAATGAGTAAGTATAGAATCCGTTTCTGGGAGGTCTTCGTGGCCGACGAGGGCACGGCCGACGAGGGCACCCGAGTCCCTTAAACTCAGGACCGTAATCTGAGTTGGCTTCTTCTCGGCCGACGGGGGCGTCTTGGCCGACGAGGGCGCCACTCTGTTGTCTTGTGCTTTCTGTTCTTCCGAGTATGTGGGTCCTGGGGCTCAGACCCATATACTCCATCAATACTCATTTGAGTTTGATATAAAACTCATTTGAGATCAATACCAGTAAGGATTCCTTTGTCTGCATTTGGCTCTCTTTGTCTTCCAAATCACAATCTCAAACAGCAAAATTAAATAAGAAAAAGAGAAAAAACGAAAAATAGTGAAAAGAAAGACAGAGGGAGGAGAAGTAATTGCGCAGACGGATCTGCTGCTTCTGTGCTAGAGGAGAAGGGGATGAGCCGTGAGCGGCGGCGACGAGCAAAAGAACCCAGTGGTGCGTTGACGACAGTCAGCCAGTGGCAAAGCCAGATCGAAGAACCAAGCTAGATCGGAGAAACTGGTGCAAAGGTTGATGCGAAGTCGGATCTTCTTCTGGTGCGGAATGAAGAAGCGCAAAGCCCAAAACAAGACCGGCTGTACCGTGCACGGTACAGCCGGCCGTGTATTTTACGGGATACATACCCTTGTTTTTTTCGGGAAAAGGGGCAAATAAGGCCACGTACTAACACAAAAAGTTCAAATAAGGCCTTATTTATGAGGCTCTGTCCGGCCTTCGCCATTTGGGTTGGTTCTCGCTGGAATTTTTTGATGAATTTTTTTGAGCATCTTATTCAGTAAGTCTAGTTTACTCATACCAAATTTAAGCAAAAACTTCAATCGGGAAGCCATTCAAATGAATTCTTGAAGATAATTGCGCAGTTAAAAGTGCAGTTATCTTCAAGAATTCATTTGAATGCCTTCTAGATTAAATTTTTATCTGAAATTCGGTATGAGTAAACTAGACTTAATGAATAAGATGGTAAAAAAAAATTCATCAAAAAATTCCACCGAAAACCACCCCAAATGGCGATGGCCGGACAGAGCCTCATAAATAAGGCCTTATTTGATCTTTTTTTGTTAGTACATGGCCTTATTTACTCCTTTTCCCTTTTTTTTCTGCATGTAAATTACTAATTTCCCAACCAGTGACCTTATTAATGACCAAACCCCACACTTGTTGTAGCGGGAACAGTAATTCATTTAATCTACGGAAAATTTTAAGAAAACAAAACCAAACAACACTTTGTTCTGTCCTATAAAGAGGCTCTCTGTCTCTCTCTTCCTCACCCCCTGGCCTCCATCTCTAGTCTCCATCCTCCATTTCCTAATTCCTTCCCTCGGAATATCTTCACTAGCAGACAAAAAAAAAGCACAGCTAGCTTGCCGGAATGTCGGTGGAAGCATTTCCCGACGCGTTTTCCGGCGACCGGGAGGATGGGGTTGAGCGATTGAGCATAATGTGGGGTCAAGTGAAAGCGCCGGTGATAGTTCCGATGCTCAGAGTAGCTGTTTTTGTGTGCCTATTAATGTCGGTGATGCTGTTCATCGAGAGAGTGTACATAGGAGTTGTGATAGCTCTGGTGAAAGTGATCGGAAGGAAGCCAGAAAAACGGTACAAATTTGAGCCGTTGAAGGATGATGACGTGGAGCTGGGGGATTCAGCTTATCCCACCGTTCTTGTTCAAATCCCCATGTACAATGAGAAAGAGGTCCGATTCCCCTCCGTGTTTTATGAGAAAGTGGTCGTTTTACACTTCGATTGAATTGTCTGAACACAGATAATCCTTTTTTATTTTGTGAGGAAGATTGATTTTTTCGCACCGATAAAAAATTGTATGCATCACATACAAAAAAAATCGGTGCGAACAATGATTCTCATGACAAAACGAAAAAAATCTATGCACTGACAATTTGATGGGCTTGTACAACTACGGTGTACATGAAGCATGTATGACATTTTGTTCAATCATGCTGTGTGTATATGTTTTTATACACATCATTTTACACACCGATCAAACTGTATGTGAATCGACATTTTTTTGTTTTAATTTGTGACAAGAATCATTTTTCACACCCATACTTATTTGTCTGTGACAAGAAAAAAAATGTCAATGTGAAAAGCAAATTTCTTGAAAAAACAAAAAATAACTGTTTGCGCACAGATAATTCGACTAACGTATAAAATGGCAGTGTACAAAAACCATTTTCCTTTTTTATTTGTGGAAAATTTGTTTTGTACACCTCATTTTTAAATATTTGATATAAGTTAATCTAAAAATGTAAAATTAATATGTTAATTATGCCAACATTTTATAATGTACTCCCTCCGTTCCCAAAAATACTTCCAACTTTCCTTTTTGTGATGTTCCCAAAAATACTTCCCACTTTCTCATTTTGGACAATTTGTGTGGCTCACATTCATTTTACCTTTTTCTTACACAACCACAATCATACATTTCCACTTTATTCCACTTTCTTAATAAGCGTGCCAAGTCAAACTGGGAAGAATTTTTAGGAACGGAGGAAGTAATATATGACATGGTGGACTTACCATGTTCACTCATCTTTAGATTAATCCCTCATTTCCAAAAAAAAAGGAAGAAAGAGTGAAATACTTGATTGCAAATACGAGTCAACTTTTTCAAAACAAGGTTTGTTCAGATTTTGCTTTGACTTGAAGAACAGCTATAAGATTTTCTCGATCTTCAATTTTCTGAATCAGAACAAATAGTCCAAAGTCGTAACAAAAAGAAAAGGCAATTCAATCAAAGCAGACATGTTTTAGGTGTCTATACCTTGCCCGAAGAAGCTAATTGAAGCCAAAACTAAAAGTGCGTTTTAATACATGCATGTTGTTAATACATGTTGTAATGTAAAACAGTTTTAGACTATTTAAAACAGTTGTTAATACATGTTGTAATGTAAAAGTCAAAGAAAGATTGAGAGCACGTTTGATAATATGGAAATCGGCCGATTCGATCGATTATGCTGAAATTTATAAAGTTCTGGTTAAAGTGGTTGCATTGGCTGATTCTGCTGATTTAAGAAAAATTATTTTTAAAATATAGTTTATCAATAAAATAAAGAAAAAATTATATGTAAAATTAGTTAAAATGGTCATCTACATTAATTTCAGTCGATACAGCCAGAAAAGTAACTTTAACCTTACTTTTTCTTATTATTACACAATTCAACGCGCGAAAACAAAAATTACTTGACCGGTGAAAAAATTGATTGATAAGTCGAAAAAGAGCGTTACCATTACCAAACGGCTGGCCTCTAATACATTATCCGGTGGCATGCCTGCTGCCTGCAGGTGTATCAGCTGTCAATAGGAGCTGCATGTGGGCTTTCATGGCCGTCAGATCGAATCATAGTCCAAGTTCTTGATGACTCCACCGACCCTTTCATCAAGGTAGGTGGTCCTAAATGTGGTGGCTGCAAATTAATTAATGTTTTTTATTTATTTATTGAATTAATGGTGGCATTCCAATGATTGTTACCATCGACCTAACGCCTGAATTGCCCAAATTGTGCTTTCCTCCAATAATAACGTCTAACTTCTTTATTTTTTGTAATCTCAACTTAAAACAGTTAAAAAGTAGTTGAATAAAATAATGCATTTTGTCCGGCCTGTTAATAACATGAGAAAATTGCCTATATAAGATTAAAACAATGCAAAATTGAAAACTGGAGTAATTTAGGCTGAAACTCACTTCATTGAGTTTTAAATGTAGTAATTATCTTTGGCAAACTTTATAGAGTTTTGTTCCAGTTTCAAATATCCATATCCAAGTTCTGGTGTCATATATAACGTACAAAAGCAGCATATAAAGTAATCTTAATTTTGACAAATCATAGCACGAGTAAAATGCATACAATAATTAAAGCAAGGAAGTATTTTGATAAAAAAAGGATGACACCCCATCATGAAAGCAAACTATACGGCAAATACTTGAACATACGGAGTAGTATAAAGTACTAGTACGTGCTAAAATCTTATTTGTTCACAAGATTGACCTTTTACCCATCCCGAAATTCAAGCTCGTCTCATAAATTAAAACACACAATAAATAATTATATATTAATGACTAAGTAGTAAGTTGTAGTAATCATTAATTATATTTTTGTAATATTTTTGGGGAAAAACAACAATGAGTACTAAGTACATAAAGTAATAGATTACTCCGTACAATACTTACTTTAATTCAGCATGTGTGCATATAATTAATGTATATATATTTATTTAATTTGTCTTATCTTACTTGAATTGGAGTCATATATTAAGTGTGATTTCCCTTAGATAATATTTCTCATTTCTACATCTTTCCATCATACATTTAATAATTTTGAAAATAATACACTATTACAACTACTTTTTTGGATTTTTCCATCATTCCACCACACTAATACCTCATCTTCTCATCATATCCTCAATAATTTATATCCTCTTTCACTATTCTTAATCTCACCTACTTTCATATGAGAAGATATCAATCTTACGGAGGTAGTAAGAGATTTAGCAACCCTAATGATTGATTTGGAGGACTAAATTACTTCTAAGTTTAGAGCATTTACTTACTTTTGAAGGTGGCATTCATTTCCCTTTTGTTTGGCAAAACTAATTTGTCAAAGGAGCTACTACACAGGGAAAAAATTACTCCCTCCGTCCCTATTTAATGTTCTCACTTTCATTTTTTGGACATCTCTTAAAAAAGTCTCATTTCCTTATTTGTTAAACAAAACGTGCAAAACAATGTCAAATAATGTCAAACAATGTCATTTTCTTATCTTAATACGTGTGTAATTTGAAGTGAAGACATTAAATAGGGACGGAGGAAGTACTATTTGTTTCTTAATATTAAATGAAGAAGAAGTTGTAGCCACTAATTTAACTTGAAGAAGTTGTAGGCTAGTAGCTAATCATTTTAATATAATATAGTATAGTTTAAAAAAATGCCACTTTTGATCCCATGACTATTATACTACTTTCACATTTAGTCTCTTACTTTCAGATTGTCCACATTTAGTCCGTGACCATTATCCCTTCACCACCTCTCGTCCTTCCGGCCAAAATTCAAGCAAATTTAATACAACTTTTAGGTATGAAAAACCAAATTTAATGCAAAGATTGATATGAAAAACACAACCTGATACAAAATTTAATGCAAAGACTGATTCTGAGAGTGGGAAGTGAACTAAATTTGCCGGAATTTTGGCCGGAAGGACGAGGAGTGGTGAGAGGATAATGGTCACGGACTAAATGTGGACAATCTGAAAGTAAGAGACTAAATGTGGAAGTGGTATAATAGTCATGAGACCAAAAGTGGAATTTTTTCTTATGAAAAAGGGTCTTGAGTAAAACCATAGCACGAATAGTTAACAGTAGGAGATGCTCTTAGCTGGAGATGCTCTTACATAGTTACATGAATATTATTTGGAACAGAATATGGTGGAAAAGGAGTGTCAAAGATGGGCAGGCAAAGGGGTAAACATAAAGTATGAGATTAGAGACAACAGAAATGGGTATAAGGCAGGGGCATTAAAGGAAGGGTTGAAGCATCCTTATGTGAAGCAATGTGATTATGTAGCCATCTTTGATGCTGATTTTCAACCTGAACCTGATTTCCTCTGGCAAACCATCCCTTACCTCGTCCATAATCCCCGTCTTGCCCTCGTTCAAGCTCGCTGGAAATTCGGTGATTATTTTTATGCTTTCTTCTATAAGTCTATCTTTCTCTTCACTTTCTAATATTCACAAACGTATCCTTCCTTTCTATACAACAAGAAAGATTGATGATACCCAAAAAAAGATTCTAGAATGAGAATAAATTATTGAAAACCATTTGAGAATGGTTTTCAAGTACAAGTACATACTAATAATACTATTGATATATTGATTGTATACCATTCAAGAGAACAATAAATTATAATTGAGGAAAATAATAAAAATACCCCAAACTTAGAATGGGTGTGAGGTAAACACCCAAACTTGTATATGTAATTTAAACACCCCAAACTTTATATAAAATGTTATTTTCGTACCATTTCACGTATTATTTCTTTCAAAAATGTAAATTTATAGTGTTAATTGCATAATTTAAAATATTTTAGAACTCATGAAGACACAATTAACATTCTAAACTTCTATTGTGAAATAAATAATGTTACCCCTAATCTATATAATTGCAATACTTATAATTTGCTATTGAAATTATGCAACTAACCACATAAATTTAAATTTTTGAAAGAAATAATACATGAAAATGGTGCAAAAATAACATCTTATATAAAGTTTGGGTTATTTAAATTACATGCAAGTTTAGGATGTTTAACTCACATATGTATTTTTATTATTTTTCCCATTACAGTTTGACAAAGATGTATAAAAATGTATAAAAACGAAATTTCCTTCATCATAGTATAGTATAGTGATGTGACACAGAAACTATTTTCCCATAAAGCTTTAAAGCATATGTTATCATAGTGAAGAAGAGAGTTGGAACTGTCGGTGAGAATGTCGTTTTCCTATTTATTTAACTAATTAATTAATATGTCAATTAGTGCGCAAAAGAGTCATGAATTGATCATTGCTGATAAGAAAAGTTTGTAGTATAAAAAGCTAGTCTAGGCTGTCAAATATTCTTCATAGAAGATGTGAAAGCAATGCACAAGCATTATCGGTGGTCCAAATCGAAACTTGGGTGTGTTTGGGAGTTTGAGTGTGAGGAAAGGGGAAGGTTTTGAAGGGGAGTAGAGGGAAGGAAAGGGGAGGGAGATGGGAAGGGATTACCCAGGTTTTGGAGGGTTTAGAAGGATTTTGTAACACCCCCAAAACTTTTCCCTCATATTATTTAAACTCCCAAACACAAATAGGAGGGTTTATTTCCCTCACATGTCTTCCCCTCTCCTCCAAAAACCAACTCCCAAAAACACCCTAACCGAGGATAAATGAGTTTTGACCCGAATCCCAAACTAGGCCTAGCCTTTACATATTAAGGCTTATAAGCATTTTAAAATAAATATAAATCTGCTTAAAAATAACTAAAAATTGGACCCGGACTAGATCCAGACCGGGAGAGGGAGTGGACGGATGCATAATCAGTTCACCTGGCGCCGGTGTTGGGATTGGTTTTAAAATGTCTTCTCACTTTTCTTTCTCGCGTAACGAAAAGATCTCCGTATTCCTAAATCTTCTCATCATATCCTCAATAATTTTGAAAATAATACATTATTACAATTACTTTTTTAGACTTATTCTTCATTTCATTACATTATTTCAATATCTTCGCATATGTACAATCTTGCTGAAAGCCTTTAGAGGTAAGCAACATATAGAGAATTGGAGTCCACTTTTGTCCTTTAACTTGGTCCAAGCTAAGGGTACAAATGTCCATTGCCCTATTCCAAAAAAAGCACGAAGGTTCATTGACCACGTGCCTTTGCCATATGAGTGGTGCATGTCAACGGCGGCCCGGCCTCAACCGACACTAATTCTTGTCTTTCTATCAATAATTACTCCCTCCGTCCCGGAATTATCTTCATTATTTCCTTTTTGGTCCGTTCCAAATTTATCTCTTTTTTCTCTTTTAGGTAAAGAATATGTGGTTCACAGCCATTCTTACACATTTCTCTCTCCTCTGCATAACTTTCCACCACACAAATATCACTATCTTAAAACGCGTGGCCGGTCAAAACCGGAGTTAAATATGGGACGGAGGGAGTATTAATTACACAGCTAATTACGCTTTTAACAGCTAGCTGAAAGACTGACAAATACAAGTACTATACAACCTGTTTCTCCCACCCTTTTCTATTTCTATAATAATGTGGTCTCATGCATGTGTTTATTTGTGTTAGATCCCCTATAACATGGCTTGTTCAGATCTACATTAATCTATTTAACTTTATCTACCTATAATATACTTTCACCTAACTTTATCTGTGTTCTAAAATAGGATCAAATATATTTTCTCCATAAAACATGACTTGTATAGTCCTATACTCCTATCAAAAGAAAAAAAAAGAATTTAAATTTGTCTAAATAGAAGTGCACGAGTCCTATTTTGAGAAGAAAATAACGTAACTCGTATACTAGAAATTTTACAATATTTACTTCTCAGGGAATATCCTCATTCTATAATCATTTCATCAAATTACTACTTTTTCTGTTTAATTTTTCGAAGTTTTATACTTCATTCGTTCTTTAATTCTTGCAACATTGTGATTTTTGCACTATTCACACATCTCAACCACGATTTTCTACTAATATACATAATCAAATTATTACGTATAAAATGTTATTGAATTCCTATCAATGTGAATTTCCAAAATATCAAGCTTTTATAATGTTTACTAATACGTAATTAAATATAATTACAATCAAAGTTGTTCGTTCCCAAATGTAAAAGTCAAACTGTTGCAAGAATTAAAGAACGGAGGATAGTATATTTTTGTTCTAGTTTTATACCACCCCTAATAATAATGAATGAATCGGTGGTTGATTTTGCAGTAAATGCGGATGAATGCTTGATGACAAGAATGCAAGAAATGTCATTAGATTATCATTTCACGGTGGAGCAAGAAGTGGGGTCATCTACCTATGCATTTTTCGGCTTTAATGGTAAAAAAGCCCTTAAATCTACTTCTTACTCTTATAATGTTTTTATGAACGACAACACTCAAATTGATTAAATTATTGAAATTGGTGAAATTGGGGTTGAAGTGGTTGAATCTACTAAATTGTGTGAAAATTATATCCAAAAGATATTTTATTAATATAATAAACTAAAATAAAAATATGAAAGAATAGCTAAAAGAATCCTCTACACTAACTTTAACCAAACCACCCATAAAGTAAATCCTATTTTACTTATTTTGATTATAAGACAAGTGAGCGCGCAAAGTGGAAAGTTAAGTGTTTGGTAAAAAAATTAACTGATAAGCTTGAAAAGGTAAAAATAAGAGTTAACAAACAGCATTAAATGTGACATTTTATTATTTTGATCTGAAATATATAAATATATGAGCAAAAGGCTTTTTTTACCATTAATACTAGCCCGTTTGATTAGATTGAAATTAACTGAATATGCTAAAATTGATCAAATTCGAATTGAAACGTTTTAAATTGGTTGGAATCTGCAGAATAATAAAAAGAAGAATTTAAAACATACTTCGTATTTATTAATACTTCAGTTCATGATTATTTGATACTCATATTATTATTATATAATAAAAAAACAGGGACGGCTGGTGTGTGGAGGCTGGCTGCAATTGAGGAGGCAGGTGGGTGGAAGGACCGGACCACAGTTGAGGACATGGACTTGGCTGTCCGTGCCAGCCTCAAAGGCTGGAAATTCCTGTACCTTGGCTCCCTCAAGGTAAACCAAAAAAAACAGAGATAATAAGTACTTCATCCGTCTTTTTTTAGTTGCAACAGTCAACATTTCACGTTTGTCAACGCACAACTTTGATCGTCATTTTATTTAATTCTGTATTAGTAAAAATAAAATAAAAATCAGATTATAAAACTTAGTAATGAGACGAATTTAACAACATGTTTCAAAAAAAATAATTCACATACATTAATAAATAAAATATAGTTAAAGTAAAGTACATGAATAATGTATATATTCCAATGTTGCAATTAATGAGATACGGAGGATAGTATATGATGATTCAAATGAACAATAATTTTACTTTGAATCATAATAGTAACCCGCTAAAACGGAACCGGCTAAAATTGAAATCGTTAAGAAGACGGAACTAACCAAGACACGTTAAAATTGATCGAAACAGACCGAACTTAAACTAAGTGCCACTTTGGTTGGAGGATTTTGAAGGTAAAGGGAGAGAAGGATTGATTTTTTATTTTAGGCTACAAATAATTATATGATTAGTTAGATCATGTATTTGTGTATACTATTTTACCTTCACTTTATTTTAATTTTTTCTAAATGTAAACATGATTTTAAATCTATATATGACTCCTCCCTTTTATCCATCATTTGCAATGGAGCCAAAGATTCGTTATTTTTTGGCTTGAGATTATGATGGAATAAAGCAAAATGACTCACTAAACTGTCTGCGCTTCTTTGTTATGAAGCGGCCGACAGTCCATACAATTTTGGACGGGATTTTCACTATGGGTCATCCGGAAACAGTCTCTATGTGCTTTAGTACAGGGGTAAGACTGCGTACATCCGACGCCCCTTTACCCCATCATAGGTGGGAGCCTTTGCGGCACTGGGGTAAATGAAAATGATATGACTCCTCCCTTTCCCTCTCCTCTGAAATCTCCCAAACCAACTGGCCCTAAAGCTACTCGGTGCCATTTTCTGTTTTCCTTTCTCAAAAACGAACCAACCAACCGAATGGTCGAACACCCTACCCTACACTCTCTACCTAATGTGCATTAGGTGCATATAGAATTTATAGACAAATAATGTGTTTAGAATGCTGATTGGCTTCATTTAAACTAATTAACAAACATATATGGATGCAATGCAGGTAAAGAATGAACTACCAAGCACATTCAAGGCATATCGCTACCAACAGCACAGATGGTCCTGTGGTCCAGCAAATCTTTTCAGGAAAATGCTGATGGAGATCGTGAGAAACAAGGTCTGCTCATTACTACCATCCAATATATCGTTGACCAGTTATGGATAAAAAAATTGTTCAAAATAGGACTAAAAGTCGATAAAACTTCAAATAGGATTGAGTACGTTTTATTTCCAAACTATGACTTATTTAGTCCTATTAAAAGAATAAAAACTCCTTGATAGAGTATTAACTCCTAGATTCTAGAGAGAAGTGAGAGCTAGAGAGAGAAGTGCAATAATATGCTTTAATAGAATGATTTTGTAACCCCTATAACTACTCCCAAGGGGAGTATTTATAGAGAAAATTAGGGTTGGGCTCCCAAGCCTCGGGCTTGGGAGGCCCATTTACAACTGGACCGCTACTGGGCCGAATACAAAGCCTCTAATGGGCTGTACAAATGAGTAAGTATAGGACTTGATTCTGGGAGGTCTTCGAGGCCGACGAGGGCGTGGCCGACGAGGGCGTGGCCGACGAGGGCACGGCCGACGAGGGCGCGGCCGACGAGGGCACCCGAGTCCCTTAGACTCAGGACCGTAATCCGAGTTGGCACATCTTCGGCCGACGGGGGCGTCATGGCCGACGAGGGCGCCATTCTGTTGTCTTGTGCTCCGTTCTTCCGAGTATGTGGGTCCTGGGGCTCAGACCCATATACTCCATCACTCCTCAAAACAGGAGTGAATGCCTGTGTTTGGGTAATAGTGGCTTCGCTTCAATCCGCCGTTTCCCCCAAATGAAAACGCTGCATTTTGTAGCGGTTAGGTCCGAATCTGCCAAAAAACAAACATGGCTAATGAATGAGTCATATTCTGGCGAGAAAACAATCATACTCCTATTTCAGAAAATGTGTTATGTTCTACTCATATTTGTAGACTTGTTGCATGTGTTTGCCCACAATCCTGCCCCTTATTGTTCTTGATTATTTTTTTGTCCCATCTGCATGCAGAAAGTAAACTTGTGGAAGAAGATTCATGTGATCTACAGCTTCTTCTTTGTCAGAAAGATCATAGCCCATATTGTCACTTTTGTTTTCTACTGTCTAGTATTGCCTGCAACTGTTCTCATCCCTGAGGTTCAAGTTCCTACATGGGCATGTGTCTATATTCCCACAATCATCACTCTTCTAAATGCCGTTGGAACTCCAAGGTCAGTTTTGACTTTATATGTGAGCTAACCTGACACTAAGAGTAGTCCAAATCTTATATGTGAGTTTATATTTTTTTATACTAGACCACTGCGGGACGATTTACAGCGACTTAAGGTCACTACCATTTAGGCAATATATGTTCGATTCTTGAAAGCAGTAAAGATAAAGTAGCACTCATGTGGGGCTCTATTGCATGCAAAATTGTACTCTACAAAACAAAGCCCAAGGAATAGTTATTATTACATTAATTAATAATCATATTTCGTCCCTTAAACTTTGTCAAGTTTGACCAGTATGAGGAATAATAAAGTAAAAACTGTGTAGTTCAAATTTGTGCAGAGGAATGAAACAACAGAATCACAAATTAATTGATTAAAAAGGAAAATGACAAAGTTTTTGAGACAAGGGTAATTAGGCAATCATCCCTTGATATTTTGAAACCAGCGCCTGAAGACAAGTTTTAGAACTCGATAAGATGTTTCCAACGAGACATTAAACGCTTTCAATGGAACAAAATAGAGCAAGATATGATCGGATCAAATTCTGCACGAGTTCGGAGTGAAATCAGAAACATTTGTGAATTTATGGTTAATCTGTAACTTTTAATTAATGCATTGTAAATGAAGTTGGAACAATAGCTTTAGAACTCCAAATTATCTTTCCAACAAGATATAATACGCTCTAAACGGAATATTAAGGCGCTGGTTTCAAAATATCAAGGATGATTGCCTAATTAGCCAATAAATGAAAGATAGTATATTTGAATGATGTGTGACTAATGGTCAAAGAACGACCGTGATCTACGTGTAGAAGTTGTATTCATAATGAACAACTATGCTTTAATGATAAACGAAATAATATGTGCTTATGTAAGACATGGGTTCATACACTAGGAAAGAAAGTCACAGCGTGATTAGGGAAAGTAATTAAGTAATTGATTGATAGCTTCTTATACGATTATTAAATATTGCATATATGCAGGTCATTGCATTTGCTAGTGTTCTGGATACTTTTCGAGAATGTGATGTCCCTCCACCGGACCAAGGCTACCTTCATCGGACTGTTGGAAGCAGGCAGAGTGAATGAATGGATTGTAACTGAGAAACTGGGAGATGCAACTGCTTTCAAGCTAAAACCAGCAGCAACACTAAAATCATCATCATTTAAAAAACCTCTGTTAAGGATTGCAGAAAGGTGATTGGAAAATTTTCTCATTCATGAATTGCCACTTGTAACTTTCATTGACTTTGATGATGATAACTAAATCATCATGCTTCCATGTCGAGTATTAATCGTATATTCACATTACTTGAACAGGATTCATGTGCTAGAGCTTGCAACGGGTGCTTATCTCTTCTACTGCGGATGCTACGATGTCGCATTCGGGAAGAACAATTATTTCCTTTACCTCTTCATCCAATCAATAGCCTTCTTCATAGCTGGATTCGGATATGTTGGCACATTTGTTCATAGTTCTTAACACAACATTTGGTGTCACTCCTTGGCTGATAATGCATATGAATCTTTTTGTGCTTGTCTTCAGATCACCAGATCAGAAGGACGGCATCTTTCACCTGGCTGTATTTTTTATTCTTTTTTCTTTTCCATATATTCTCAATTCTTTCCTTGTAAAATAGAAGAAAACTGGTTATTTGGATTAGGTTGTAAGTCATAAGAATTCAAGTTGTGGACCAAATAATGGATGTATTATCCTTGTGTATATTTCAACATTCAAAGGCAATGTAGATACAGAAAAGATCTCAAAAGATGCACTGTCACTCTCAGAAAGGAAAACTCAGCACGAGAATATAGTCAAAACAAAGAAGCAATGAGCCCCTTCTTTTAGATTGAAATTCTTGTGATTTTGTTAATTTAAGCCGGATCTAGTCTCTCTAAATTGATATTGTTTGGTTTTGGATTAATACACGTTATGTAAATTTTATTTTTGTGAATATACGTAGTATCAATTCAATAATATTGTGAGATATTATTCATACAAGCTTCCCACACTTGGCTTAAGTTATCATTAGTTAAAACTTAAAATGCTAAGTGCTAACCATAACAATAATATTCTCAAAAAAAAAACAGAACAATAATACATTTAATAATGATAGTCTTATATATATATATATTTCCATCATTTGCAATGGAGCCAAAGATTCATTATTTTTTGGTTTGAGATTATGATGGAATAAAGCAAAATGGCTCACTAAACTGTTTGCGCTTCTTTGTTATGGAGCAGCAGTCAGTCCATGCAATTTTGGACGCGATTTTCACTATGGGTCATCCGGAAACAGTCTCTCTGTGCTTTAGTACAGGGGTAAGACTGTGTACATCCGACCACCCCTTACCCCACCATAGGTGGGAGCCTTTGCGGCACTGGGGTAAATGAAAATGAAAATGAAAGTCTTTTATTTATATATATATATATATATATATATATATATATATATATATATATATATATATATATATATATATATAATAGAAGCTTTCTAAACAGTACCTGAACATGACACATTCCCTGTATATTCTATGTCTTCCCCAAATACAACTCATACACTCCCAGAAGAAGAAATCTTAAAGGCTTAGATTATTTTAGTAGAATGGACTAAGTCCTACTTCAGTAACACCTTATAATCAGCCTTATTTATAAATTTGGTACATGTTTGGTTTGTATTATAGGCAGTTAGTTTTCAGTGATTTTTCAATAACTATATAAGTAATACTGTATATAACATAGTTAGTAATGAATATATTCATAACTATAAACATATAAATATCACATCATTTTGAAATTCCAAAATGTGCAAACATGAAGAGGGCAAAATAAGTGTAGAAGGTAAAGTCTTAGGAGGGTTGGACCCCTAAGTAATCATCATTCCAATCTTTCCTCGACCAAAAGAACAAAAACTACCTTTGTACATACGGAGTATGAAACATACGATTAAGTTGTTGATCACAGTTAGGGTTTGCCTAGCGACAGGTCAATTTCTTCATTACTCTTCTTAATTCTTATTAATCTTGCTAAGGGGTTAGTGTTATCTAAAGTTAGTCTTCAATTCTTCACGTGTTTGTTGTTTATGGCGGGAAATCAGTCTGTGTGATGGTAAATGACTTTCAATAACTATAATTATTAGCATATTATTATTGTTATTGTTATTAGTATTAGTATTATCATTATGATTATTATTATTAGTATTATCATTATTATTGTTAATATTATTGTTATTACTAAGATTATTATTATTAATAATATTATTATTATTTAAGGGTTATCATGTGTTTATTATTGTTATTACTAGAACTATTAATAGTTATTATTCAAATATATTTAAATAACTTTCAAAGTGAATATATAAATATTCATAGTTTTATATGGTAAATGTGTGAAGTAGGGATGGATTCGGTTCGGGCCACCCGGCCCGTGACCCGGCCCGGCCCGGTACTGTGCGGGCCCGGGACCGGCCCGGTCGGGCGGTCCGGGACCGGGTCTGGGCCCGAACCGGGGGGAAGGGGCGGGGCGGGCTCGGTTCAGCATTTTTGTGACCCGGCCCGGTCGGGTCGGGCCCGGGCCCGGGTCCGGTTCGATCAATTTTTTAAAAAAAAAGTTTTTTTGGGTTGGGCTCCTACTAGCCGTTGGGGGTGGGGCTGGGGACAACCCAAACGGCTATATAGCCGTTGGGTGGGTTATAGGGGGGGTCCGGGGGGGTTGGGTGGTGGGTGGTGGGGGGTAAAAAAACCAATAAATACTCCTAATCTTAAACATTTTTTCATATCTCTTCTCCAATTCTTCCTAAATCCTATTCTTAACTCTCTACTCTCTAATTCTCTTATTCTCCATTCTCCAATATATTATATTTATTATTTATAGTTTATATTAATTATCTACTTATATAAATTATAAATAGATATAAATAGTATTATATTACTTATATTTGTTATCTAATTATATATTACTTATATATTTATTATATCTATAAATATAGTTGAATTATATCTAATTAATTTGAAGTCATTCTATTACTCCCATCCGAAAGACCGAAAGTCCGAAAGAGGTACGAAATTATTCTATTATTTACACTTGTTTAATTACTAGTTAATTAGTATAGTTGGAATTACGATTTTTTATTAATATAGTTGGAATTACGATTTTTTTATTAAAAAATATGTTGTAAACGAAACTAGTTAATTCACTACTTAATTTGCTATAACTCGAATTAATAGTTAGATAAATAGTTAATTAGTTTTTTACAATTTTTTATTAATTGCTACATATGACTCTAGTTTATAAAATATGTTGTACACAAAACTAGTTAATTCACTACTTAATTTGCTATAACTCGAATTAATAGTTAGATAAATACTTAATTAGTTTTTTACAATTTTTTATTAATTGCTACATTTGACTCTAGTTTAAAAATAATGTTGTACACAAAACTAGTTAATTCACTACTTAATTTGCTATAACTCGAATTAATAGTTAGATAAATACTTAATTAGTTTTTTACAATTTTTTATTAATTGCTACATTTTTTAGATGGATCGTCCTAGATATTCGGTTGATATGGGTAACCTCGAGCGCAACCGAACGAACGAGCTTGCGAGGAAGAGATCCCGCAAAGGTAAATCACATCTCGGCTCTTCATCTCAAAGTCAAGATGATTTTGATACGGGTTACGTAAGGAGGGATGGGGATGCGATGACCGACGAACAACTAGAACAAGAATTGCACCGACATAATTCCCGCTTTTTTCAAGACCAACCGAGGACCATTGACGAAGAAGAGCTCGAGGACGAGGACGACGATGTGGAGGAAGCAATTCCGGAGAGCCACGACGACGAGGAGGAGGGTGGCGGCAGCCATGACGCCGACCAAGCAGCCTCATCCCAAACAGGTACAAAAAAAAGTAAATCTGAATTAATGGCTAATAATTTTTCTAAGTGGAAGGACCCGAACACCGGGAATTGGACCGCAACTTGCAATTGGTGCAAGAAAAACTATAGCTTGGGGATTTCCGGCGGATACGGATCCGCCACAAGACACCTTAAGTCCAAACACCCGGTGGAGTATGCAAAATTAGGCGGCGGAACGGGAAAACAAACGCAAATATCGAGGTTTGCAAATAACCAACAAGTTTTTGGTAATTTCTCATACAATGATGCACAAAATTTGACAGGTATGGCTAACTTACTTGTTGAAGAAAATTTGCCTTATTTGTTTTCTGAAAGTCTTGCTTTTCGTGATTATGCACAAACTTGTTTAAATCCGCAATATAGAGGTTATATTCGCAAAACGGTTAAGAAAGAAATTTCAAGGCTTTATGGTGCGGAAAAGGTAAGGTTACAAAATTATTTTGCAAACTTTGATGGACGTGTTACTGTATGTTCTGACATATGGGAGGATACTTATCATAATTTACATTATTTGGGTCTGACTGTACATTATATTGATAATGATTGGCATATGCATAAACGTGTTCTTGCTTTCCGTGAATTTAATGATCGTCACACCGCTGAACATATTTATATTTTGATTGAACGTATTTTAATTGAGTATAATTTAATTGATAAGGTGTTTGCTATTGGTTTTGATAATGCTACTAATAATACTGCTGTTATTCCTAGATTGCGTGAATTGTGTGGTTCTACTTCTTTGATGGGTAGATTTTTTCATCAACGATGTGCATGTCATGTTCTAAATTTATGTGTGCAAGATGGTCTAAAAGCGTTGGGAGCATCGTTGGAGGTAGTCAAGGGGGGATTAGACGTATTTGGGGTAATGGACACCTTAGGAAAAAATGGCATGATTATTTGATAGAAAGAGGTGAGAGATATGTGGCTTTTCCAAAAGATTTGTCTATTCGTTGGAATAGTACCTATAAGTTAATTGGAGTTCTTCTTAGATATAAACAACATTTTCCTGCTTTTATGAAACAATATGATAACTATATTATAAACTCGGCTGAGATCGACACCTGTGAAAAAATTTGTAATGCTTTGATATATTTTAATAATGCAACTGAAACTTTTAGTCATGTTTATAAACCTACCTCGATCCTCGTTTTAGACTTGGTTCTTTAGAAGAATGTTTGAATTATTATTATGCTGCTTTTTTTGGTCCATTGCCAATGTATGAGGACAACCCAATTGATCCGAAAAAAGAATACAACGAGGTTAGTGATATATTTTATGCATTATTCAATGAGTTTCATGCACAATATAGCAATGCGCCCCCTCCCCCGACACAAACATCATCTAAAGGAAAATCAATTTTCAAATCTACGTTTGCCAATCTTATTAAAAAAACAAAATCAACTCCAGCTACACAACAAAGCACAATTAATGAGATTTCTTTGTATTTAACTTATGATGTTGATTTTGAAGAAGATGATGATTTTGACGTACTAAACTGGTGGAAGGGAAAAGAAAGAATGTTCCCGGTTTTAGCAAAGATGGCTAAGCAAATGCTATCAATGCCGATTTCAACAGTTGTCGTGGAACAAGAATTTAGTTCGGCCGGCAATATTCTAACACAAACTAGAACGAGGTTGAACGCTGAATCTCTTGAGATGCTTATATGCTACCACGATTGGTTGAAAGCAGCACGTAGAGCTCAAGAAATTGACATCACTCAATCCCAACACTTTATGGATGAATCTACAGAGGGTGGCTCTACTTATGCCGGAGATTCCGATTATAAACAATTATAATTCCTATTTAATTTTCAAATGTAGTTCCTATTTCATTTCAAATAAATGCACTTGAAGTTTGTTTTTTAATACTTGTATAAAACTATAAAGTATAAAATATAAATTTAAAAAAAAATTACACGGCCCGACCCGGCCTGGCCCGGCCCGGCCCGGCGGGTGGCCCGATCCGTGACCCGGGCGGGTGGCCCGGCCCGGCATGAACCGGACCCGTCCAACCCTCGGCCGGTCCCGGGCCCACTATTCTAGAACCGGCGGCCCGACCGGGCCTAGGCCCGGGCCGAGCCCGACCCGTCCCGGATCCACCCCTAGTACTGTGAAGCAAAATTACAATTCATATTTGTAGTATTATTCAAGTTATTTGAATTCAAACGCAAAATATTTGAATTATTACAACCCTACTTGTACCTATAAGGTCCTATACACTACCTCATCCCAAAAAGTATTACTCCGTAGGAAAGTAGGAATTAAGTGAAAATGTTAGAAAAAAGATACATGAATGTGAGCCACACAATTTTCCAAAGTCGAATAGAAATTTTTTTTTGAGACATCCAAAAATGGTAAATGAGAAGAAGTTTTTGTGACAGGGAGTAATAAGCAAATAAAGAGCAACATTTTGTGTTGCAAACTTGAGTGACCAAACTTTGACTAAGAAAGCTGCCAGATGAGCTTTGCAGAAAATATCAATAAATGGATGATGGATCTGCCAAAAACCGAACATTAAAATTATAGAAATAAGAGAGACCTGACCAGGTTTGGAATTCAAAAACTGAAATATTGGCTAGTATACAACCGAAGAGAACTGTTGCAAATCAACAGTTGAAACCTCAGAACAAAACTTCGATTCTACTTAAAAGTTTTTATTCGTATTATTAAATAAGTGGGTCGCCACCCATACTCTTCAATGTGATAGGCAGCATTACATCTCAAGCAGCAGACCATGGTGTGCGGAAGCTGGCTCCTGCATAAACAGCTGCTGAACCGAGCTCCTCCTCAATTCTCAACAGCTACACATTAACAAATGAATTACAAACATAAATGGGGTACGGTTTTTATTGTGAATTGTAGACATATACCGCGGTAGATGATTTGTTAGTCAAATACCTGGTTATACTTAGCCAGACGCTCTGACCGGCAGGGAGCTCCGGTCTTAATTTGACCCTAAAAGATTTGTGCAATTTGTATTCAGTATATAACAAAAAATAAGTTCCGAGAAAATCATACTTTTGTTTATTATTAAAGAAATATGTCATGAATTTACCGTTGACAAACCCACAGCAAGATCAGCAATAAACGTATCCTCTGTCTCTCCACTGCACAAAGCATGCATACAATTCATTGAGTGCAGCTTTATAGAATATTCTATTCTAAAAATGGATTGGTTAAATTATTCCACTTCATATAAACTACTACTTGAAAGTGTATCATATCCATACCTGCGGTGACTTGTCATGGCACCCCAACCCGCTCTCTTAGACATTTTTACAGCTTCAATACTCTCAGTCACAGTTCCAATTTGGTTAACCTAGTTTTGGAAAAAAATGTCATTTTATCATTCATCATTTTCATTTACCCAGTGCCGCAAAGGCTCCCACCTACAGTGGGATAAGGGGGGGTCGGATGTACGCAGTCTTACCCCTATACTAAAGCACCTTTGTACTAAAGCACAGAGAGAGACTGACTGAGACTGACTGCTGCTTCATAACAAAGAAGCAGAGACAGTTTAGTGAGCCATTTTGCTTTATTCCATCATAATCTCAAGCCAAAAAATAATGAATCTTTGGCTCCATTGCAAATGATTGGAAAAAAATGTAAGTGTTTTTTATTCATAGTTATCTTTACAACACCAATGGTAATCAGTATCACTCCACTTGTAAGGGTCATAGAAAACTACCTTAAGAAGAAGGGCATTGCATGATTTGCCTTCAATTGCCTTGGCAACCCTCTACAGACATAATAGAAACCAAAATCAGTTCAAAATAGCAAAAAGATATCAAGGAGAGGGAAAAACCAAGATACAACAGTGGAATAGAAAATGACCTTAGGGTTGGTGACAAGGAGATCATCTCCTACAATCTGCACTTTCTCCCCTATCTCCGCAGTCATTTTAGCATAGTGTTCCCAGTCATCTTGGTCGAATGGATCTTCAATGGAAACAATAGGGTACTCAGCCACAAATGACTTGTAAAGATCCTTAAGCTGGTCACCTGAGATCTTCTTTGAGCCATCATTTTTCTGCAAAAGTTGAGGAATTAGCTATCGACCGACACATCAGTAGTATGCATGGTTTTGGTTAAGGGGTGGGGGTAATACATGCTCAGGCATGTGGCTTAATTTTCTAGCATACATCCTAACTAAAATAACAAGGGTTGTGAAGACAGAAATATGTCCTCGTTTAATTCATTTTTTAAATACCCTAAAAGTGAAGTGCAAATAATTAGTTATCGCTTTCTAAGCTCTAGTCAAACCACTTTTGGCAGTGGCAGTGTGTTTACCCACAGTCAACCCTCCACCTTCTGTCTAAATCAATTAGCCACTATGTGATAATAAGAGGAATGAAAAATACAATGAGCTGAAAAAACATAAGTATACCTCCTCTTTGAAGTTCAAATCATATAATTTGTCTTGCCCATAGAACTCTGAGGCAGCAACATCCATTCCAATAACAACCTGCATGGAAAAGCAATTATTAGCAGCAATAAATAAATATAATTGAACCACCCTTATAAAGACTGAAAAATGAAAGCCAATTAACTCACTTTCCCAGTATATCCTGCCTTCTCTATAGCAGTCTTTAGCAAATCAAGGCCTTCCTTGTTCTCCTGAATATATTAGGGAGCAAAGACGATGTGAGCCCATAAATTAAAGGGGGTAAACAAAAACATGGTATTAAGTCTGAATGAATAAACAAATTAGACCTGGATGTTGGGAGCAAAACCTCCCTCATCCCCAACATTGGTGGCATCCTGTCCATATTTCTTCTTGATTACAGACTGCAGTTATTACATGTTAAAATTTGTTAGATGGACACAGAAGTACACATAAATGATGGCAGGCAAACATAATGAATAATCACTCAAGTAGACCTTGTTACAGCTACTACTGAAGAAGTAAGAAAGTAGAGCACTAGGAGAGGGCACTAATACAACAATGGACCAGGCCGGAACAGAAATGGCCAGAAGCCCGGAACAGAATGTAGAAAAATGGCAATCATAAACCCGACCAGAATCTTTCCAGATTCTGTTAGGAACAGAACAGGCCAGTTCAAAACCTGAACTAGCTCGGTTAAAGTGGTTTTAAAAAACAGCTATGACCTTTTTCTTTATATACCAACATAAAATCATTTTAATGGAAATATAAATCATTGGGAGTTGGGGAGATGGAAATAATTTAGAATTCAGAAACATAAATTATCTATCGCATAGCATACATTACAGGTAAATAAAGCATAAGCATTACAAAACACATAGTTTTCAAACCCTAATAAAGCCGGTTGGCTACTGTCAGATCAATATAATCCAGTTTATAGACACAGTCAGACAGATAGGAATCTAGAATTTAATGCACCAAAACTTAAAACTGACCCACATCTTATCTCTTTTTCTAGTCCGGTTTACCTCTTTTGTCCCATTTCAGCACACCCAAGATATCTTAATAGGTCTGCATAGGGTTATGGTAGTATGGAAGTATAGTAGACCTTGTTACAGCTACCACAGAAGGGAAAGCTTAATTGGTGTGGATAGGGTTACTGTAGTATTCTAGCGGCAAAATCGGCATGTTGCCTCAGCAGCATTAAATATCACAAGGGAAATTGTAGCTCGTAATAATTCTGATCATGAATCAAATTACCTTCAAGTGGTGGTATACTTCACAACCCATCTTCATGGCCTCTTTGAAACTGGAAGCTCCAACAGGGAGAATCATAAACTCCTAAAAACAAAACCATCAGCAAGCAAACCTTCAATGAGCATTGTATGTCACACCAAGTGCATGTAGATTGTAGAATGTCAGAGACAGACCTGCATGGCAAGTTTGTTTCCAGCATGGGATCCACCATTGATGACATTAAAAGCTGGAACTGGCAAGACCAACTTCTTGTTGCCAGCAAGGTTTGCAATATGCTGTTGGAGAAAAACAAGTCAGAGTATAATTACCGCTTATAATAATAAAATGGATTACACGTTAAACTGAAATGTGCTAAACAACACTTGAAAAGACAACTAGGCTCAGCCAGCCAAAATATACCTGGTAGAGAGGAATATTTTTTACTGCAGCACCTGCTTTGCACACAGCAAGAGATACTGCTAGTATAGCATTTGCACCTAGCTGGAAAAAGATGTTAAACGAATTGGATCAGCAACAGCAACAAAAAATTCACAAGTACAACGTAAAAACAAAAACAGCAAAAATTAGCAGGTATAATTTAGTTACCTTTTGCTTGCACCAACCCCACTCATTCTGAGTGCCATCAAGTTGATGAACCATGAAATTATCAATAGCGGTCTGATCAGAAGGATTCTGCGGATGCATTATAATTAAATAAGAGGGTTTCCAAAAATATTACTACAATTAAACTTTTGGATAGAAAAATGATTAAAGTGACTATGAGCATACTTTTACATTTAAAGTCACTGCAACATAGAATGTAAACAAAATTATTCACTAAAAGTTAATAAGACACATTTTGTCGATTAACCTTATTTTAGTCATATATTAGGTATTATATCATAAAATAAACTTCTAAACAGCAAAACAAACTAAACAAATTGGCGCGCATGTCCAGGTAAATATTCGAAAACAAACCTTGCCAACAAGTGCAGGGGCAATAATTGAGTTGACATTATTAACAGCCTTTGAAACACCTTTTCCGAGGTATTCTGATCCTCCATCCCTCAATTCGAGGGCTTCGTAGATTCCTGTATGATGAAAAAAATGAGAAACACTCCTTGGATGGAAAAATAACAAATAGAATTTCAAATTACAAACTACGTAATACCAAACAAACAGAATTAGCACTCATCAAACTGTACATCCATAAAGCCATACAAAAACATAATAGTATCCTACCGAATTCCATAGAATCAGAGCAAAAGCATAAAAAATCGAGGTGATGATATGTTCTAAGAAAATGTTATGAGAAGCAATGTTATTGACTATGATATTGAGATAGCTAATTCCAAATGCAATAAAAGCAATGTCTTTCACGAAAGTGGTAGCTATTGTAATTGTACCAGTGACTTTTGTGTTTTGAGTATGATGTTCAAGTAATTTACACTGTAAATAGTATGTAAATCTGTTCATGGCGTGGCTTGTAGAGCTATAAGTTATGAGTTGACTTTCATTGTTCGTTTTCTTTAATTGTTAATACATGATATGTTCTAAAATCACATACCCGTTTGATTTTATTCAATCTTTAAACTTTTGGCTTATTCAAATCCACTAATGAACTTAACATCACATTGATTGCTATATAAGTTATTCCAGGTAATAACCTATATAACATCACTATTATGTAATTAATGTAAAGTTTTCATGACCATTAATCCTATTAGATCACAACAAAACAGACTCTATTGACAAAAAACATCCTAGTCCTAGTACTCATAAAGTGATAAGAGGGAGAGAAGTTTACCGGTTGAGGCACCGCTGGGAACAGCAGCCCGGGACCAGGTGCCATCAGACAAATGCACATCAACCTGCAAATAATCATAAAATTGATATTAGCGAACAAACACCTTATTATCCGATTAAACAGATCCAAGTTTGAAAATGAGATGATCGAAGATTCGGAAGGGGAGATTATATGACGGACCTCAACTGTGGGATTGCCACGGCTGTCAAAGATCTGACGGGCCTTGAGGCACTTGATGGTAGCCATGGAAGTGGAGTTTTGGATCGGTGAAGACAGAGCAGTTTCGGAGAAAACGAGATGGTGCGGCACGACAACAAAGAGCGGGGTAGGTGCGACGTATATGTAGGAAGGGTAAGGTGATTACAGCCGTTGGATTAGTGGGTGGATTAGTTTAGTGTAGATTGGGCAGCAAGATATTCCCTTCAAGATGCCTATTTTGTGATTTCGGTGCATTAGAAAATTTTGACTTTTAATTAACTTAGTTTTTCGGTTTATCAGCTAACTTTTTAATTAAATATGTAACATTTTTATTTACGCACTGAATTGTATAATAATAAGAAAAAATAATATTGAAGGTATTTTTCTGGCTGTTTTGGCTGAAGTTACTATAGATGACCATTTTAGGTATTCTTCATATGATTTTTTCTTTATTTAATCCATAACATATATTTTAAATACAATTTTTTCATAAATGAGCAGGATCAGCCAATACAGCAACTTCAGCCAGAACTTCATAAATTTTAGCAGAATCAGCTCATTCAACCGATTCCAATGTTACGAAACGGCTCTACATTTTACCGTTTTGGGACAATACATCACTTTTTCAAAACAACTGTGTAAAAGTGTGTATACAAAAAAGTGCGTATGAAGAGTATTTTTGAAACAATAATATGCACACTTCAATTACAAAATCAATGTTTATATAAGAGAGGATTACTCATGTTCGGCCGGTCCGATCAGGAGCCCCAGTCAGCCTCCGCCATTTGGCGCGATTCTTGGTGGTATTTTTTGCTGATTTTTTTGTATGTTCTTCATTTAATTTAGTTTATCCACATCAATTTTCAGTTAAAAGTAGACATGTACAAAAACGGGTTCGGGCCGAGTTCGGGCAGAGCTTTTTATAATTTTTTTGCCCATCATGTGTGGGCGGGCCTGGCCCGGCCCGCAAAACGGGTCTAACCTCATGTTCATGCCCGCCCATAAGAGCGGGCCGGGTAGTCCACCGGGGCGCCCGGCCCGGGAAAACTTTGATTTTTTCAAAATTACTCCCTCCGTCCCTTATAACTTTGCCAACTTTCCTTTTTTGGTTGTCCCAAAAATTTTGTCACTTTCCCTTTTAATCAATCAATTTGTGGCTCCTGTTATTTATCTCTCCTCTGCACAAATATCTGTCACAAATTTTTTACTTTATTATTCTACGTGCCGGTCAAACATGGCAAACCTTTAAGGGACGGAGGGAGTATATGATTTTTTTAATACTTTAAAAAGAATATTACAACATTTAAAAAATTGTTAATACGCTTATAATGTTTATAGGTCTTTCACCACATACAAAAAAATACTTACACAAAAATAATTATGAGAAACTATATCTAAAATTTTAAATTTAAGCACAAAGTATTATCTTTAAGTACAAAAATAGATATTATATTGGTTGGGCTAGTTGTTACGAACTTAAAATTTAAATTTAAACATAATAAACTATAAATATGTATAAAGAAAAATTAATAAATATAAATATACATGTGTATGTAAATAAATAAATAAATTAGTATATATATAAATACATATATTCATATATACTAAATGTAGCAGGTCGGGCTTATCGGCCCGAACGGGCCTACACCCTAACCCAACCCAACCCATATCTTATTGCGGGCCGGGGCCGGGCCGGGCCAGGCCGATGGGTAAATATATATGCCCAAGTCCGTCTATTTGTGCGGGCGGGCTGGGCGGGCCGGCCCGGTTTTGTACAGGCCTAGTTAAAAGTACAATTGGGAAGGGAGTCAAATGATTTTTACATGATAACTGCATTTTATATGTATATATATAAAGGGCGCAGTTATCTTCCAAAAATCATTTGACTGTCTTCACCGATTGAATTTTTAGCTGAAATTTGGTGTGGATAAACTAGATTTGATGAAGAACATGAAAAAAATCAGCAAAAAATGTCATCGGGGACCGTCCCGAAATGCAGAGGCCGAACGACACTTCGGTGAGGAGATTCCGGATAGGAACAACACTCGTAAATAAGATACAAAAAATCCCTCTTAAATTATTATGCTCTTATCTTACAATAAAACTTAGCAAAATAGTTTTGTAAAAAACACAAATTTACATAATTTATAGGAGTATATGAAAACAATAGTGAAGAATAGTATGAACCATAAATACATGAAAAATTCCACTACTACTAGTACTCATAAAGTGGTGGATAAAAATGTGACTCAAACGGGTGGATAATAGGGCATCCAATCTATATAATTTAGAGAGATTGAGCTATGAAGGAGAAGAGATGAATGCGTAGATTGAATGTGTGTAACGTTCATTCTAGGTTTACAAGACCTCCCATATGGGGTATTTTTAGAGAAATAACAGGTTGGGTCGCTAATATGGGCCTCATACGCCTAACTATATAAAATGGCTAATCTAGTAGGTACAAACGATCTCTGATTTGTACAACAATATAAATGATATCCTTAAAGCGTTTGTGGGTTGTTGTTCAGACCCAATAGTCGTGATAGTCGGGGGCTGAGACTATACTCTATCAGTAACTATTAGTAACTATACTTGTATTCAAAGTTTACAACATAGTGAGTAAACTTAATAGCATTTCAACCAAAAATGGCAGTTTGACTCCTTTTAGCGTTGTTTGATAAATAGTTGTTCGGCCCTATCATATTTTGACGGAACCACTGAAATGGAAATGTTGCAAATAGGAGAGTTATGAGTTAGTGTTTCGAAATATGACGTTTTCTACTAATTGTTATGACCAAATAACTAAATTGTCAAACATCTTATGACATTCCGGCAACTTATTCCGTTACTCAAACCCGTTAACTGAATCCATTATTGACAACCCACTAACATAATATGCTAACCGCTAAATGCTAACTGAAGTAAAACTTTTAACACAATTATAGTTAATTATTTATAAATAGTTACGTAGTACTAAGTTACATTTTTCATGACTCTATTATTAGTAATATTTAAATTATTAATAATATTTAAGAAAAAACTTTTAGTTGTATTCCTGTAAAACAAACATAAAAAACTAGACCATCAAATAAATGCTGTTGCTAAATTTAGTAAGAGGAAATGGCGACTCATCTTAATTTAGCGAGATGTTTAAGAAAATAAAGATAGTGTGGTTTATACTTCTTAGTTATTTAAGAGAAAGAGAAAAATATTAGTTGCAGTTATTAAGGATATTTTTATTCGGACTGTTTTCAATCTTAGATCAAACCAGATCAGTTCAGATCATATTAAGTCAGAATTGGATAGTTATAAATTATACAGAGATCAGACATTTATCAGTCCAGGTCAGCAAATTTTTGTCCAAGTAAAAATATCCTAAATATAATAGAAATAAAATTCAAATCCCTAATTTCAAAATTAAATTACAAGAGCAAAAAGTTCTTTAGGCATAACTAGTGAAGAGATAATTCGGCTTGTCACACAATTTTTAGCATAAAATTAATTTTTTTTATTATGGACGGTGAGTTATGTAACAATTAAAATAATTATTTCTATTTTTAAAGAGGGTGATTTTAGCTTTTGTCCAAATATTATTTTCATAATTTTATTTGTATGAAATATTTTAAATAGGTTTAAATATGTTTTAGTCCCTGTAAATACAATAAATTTTGTTTCACATTTGTGTAAATTGCTTTTATTTTTCTTCCTTGAAATTTATGTTTATTTTCTTTTTAAAAAACCAACATAAATTTATTCAAAAAGATTTAATTCTACTTTTTAGAAGGTTATGTTTTAGTACATATTTAGAAAATGTGAATAATTCGCTTTACATTGTCTTAACTCTTAACTATCATATTAGAATCAGAAAGTTATAAAAAAAGTTCCTAGTAGATTAATACAATTGACAATAACGTATTTTCTATGTAGAGTGTTTTCAGAGTTGGAGAGGACTCTGATACAAATAGGAAAAGTTTACTTGGATACAAATGGAAGCTAAATGTGTATTGCGCTAATATACGATGACAACTAATAATAGCAATAATTGAACAATAGTAGTAATCACGTCTCGATCTCCTTTCTTAACGTTATGTCACCACTATAGAGAGCAAACTTGCACAGTACTAATAGGTAATTTTATACTCGGTACTTAATTGTGAGTTACCTACCATATGTCAATATGGCATGCTATCTATGTTAGTTTACCTTATATGTGGTACATAATTTTATTCGCAAAAGTCCACACATGTTACAATGGTGATATTAATGTGGGTGTTAGTGCTTGTCTAATGGAAAATCATACTTTTCAATAATGTGAATCATATATTGACATTTTCATTTTTCAAATCTTTACTCTTTAGTTGATACAGTATCTCATTGAGATCCTATTTATGAAGAAATTCCTTTTCTTTGTATTGAAGCACAGCTTCAATTACCAAGTACTACGTATATTTTAGGGGTGTTTGACGGTTAAGTGTAGGAATGGTGCAAACCATTCGGAAGAGTGTAAAACAGTAATAGCTTAGAACATCCCCATTCGAACCACTCCACCTAGCACCCTTTACGTAGGTAAATGCTTAGAACATCCCCAATGGGGTGATGTCCGTCGTTTTTATTTCGTATGTGGTTGCAATCCTCAATTTCTACTTTAATATTTCCTCTTGTCCCTTAGAAGTTTGACCGGCACGGGGATTAATAAAGTAAAAACTGTGTGATTGAGGTTGGTGCAGAGGAGCGAGAATTAACTGGAATCACAAATTCTTTACTAAAAAGAGAAAGTGGCAAAATGTTAATGGGACATCCAAAAAAGGAAAGTTAGCAAAACTTTAAGGGACGGAGGGAGTAATTTACAGGCCGTTTGGCAACACTTTTTTCTGGCTTATCAGGCTTATCAACCAACTTTTTCACCAAACACGTAGTTTTTGCTTTCGCGCGTTGAATTATGTATTAAGCATAAAAAGTAAGATTGGAGTTACTTTTCTGGCTGTATTGGTTGAAGTTACTGGAAGTATAAATTTTTATTTATTTTATTAATAAAATATATTTTGATTTTTTTTCTTAAATCAGCAGAATCAGCCAATGCAGCCACTTCAGTCAGAATTTCATAAATTTCAGCAGAATCATCCAAATTAGCCGAGTTAAATTGAAGTGGTTGACATTACTATACAAGATCATTTTAGTTACTTTTATTCAGAGT